CTAACTTCTATTTGGTGTTTTGTTCAACCAGTGAACACAGTTAATCTGCTAGGGATAGTAACTATAACGAGTTAAGTCTTTTACTAGGCTCAATATCATACACTAATGCCCTAAAATATTGACACTGTATTCTCTGACTTTTTACTTTCAGGAATTTTTCTCACCCTCACCCTCACCTGAAATTTGTGCCGGCTGCTTCTCAGTTCACCCTTAATTTCCTTCGTTTGCTATAGTTAGTACACACTTGGAAGTGGATGTTCCTTAGAGGCCTCAAGTTCTGACATCTCCTTCCTTCCTTTTCTTAGATTAGAGTCATACAGGGATGATAATGACGACTTGGAGAAAGAAGGAATTTCTTGGAGTTAGCAGGAATTCTGGAGGGAGCCTGAGCCAGCCTTGTCTGTAAGACAGATTAACTGGCCTCATCCCTCCCCTTTCACCCAGGGCTATTTTCCATTCCAGAATTATCATAAAGCCAGCCAAAACCCATCCCTGAGTGTGGATAGGGGCTGTAGGTGCAAGGCAGTTCCAATTAGTGGTCTAATTTTAACGTGGCTTCTGGCCAGAGGGCTTCATTTCATAGCACATTTCAGACACCAGAGCCAATGGTCAAGTGGGTTACCTTGGACTTATCTTAGATGTAATTGACTATAACCTCTGGGGCTGGCTGGGGGTCATTTTCAAGCAAGACAGAATCAGGAATTGGAATGGAGGTTGTGAAGCAATCATGCATTTTTATCCCAACTGGGAAATGCTTATCAAAATAGTTTTTAGTTATCAAGTAAGCACAAGTGCCTGGAAATGACGTTCCCAGTGAGGGGAAATGGCCCAGCTGTGCTTTTTTTGGCTTTCTCTCATCTGCTCAACAGGAAAAATATTAATCAATGGGAAAAATGCTCCATTTCTATTAACTTAACATGAGTTTTAGGTAGTGTGGGAAATAGTAATACTTAATGCTTTTACATTGCAATTTTATTACATGGATAGCAAAGAACTCTTTAGAAAATGGTTTTTCCTTAAACCATAAATTTGCACCTAGAGGGGTGTTTTATCTCCTTGATGGCACAGCTGAAAGCCTAAGATAGAGAAAGTTCCAGGGTTCTCTACAATCTTGAAGTCATTGTGTGGAATAATCCATGGAACAGGTCTGGTGACCCTTGCCACCGGGCAACACCTTTTTATCCCATCAACAGGGAAGCAATTCACACTCCAGTGTTTCCTCATAAAATGAATTAGCAACACTTCTCCAAGGAGAGAAAACAGTATCTAAGTCAAGGGTCCCATAATTGGGCTTTCCATATTTCAGTCTCTCTCTAGCCCTACTTTGTAAACTTTCATGGGAGGATATGAAGAGTCCAGCCCAATGCTATTTCAAGAAGTAAGCCCATACATGTAACCGTGTCTCTCTACACCTCTTTCGTTCAAGGTGATGAGGCTTCGCAAACTGGCTCAGCAAATCGCAAACTGCAAGCAGTGCATCGAGCGCTCAGCATCGCTCATATCCCAAGCGGAACACTCTCTGAAGGAGAATGATCATGCCCGTTTCCTACAGACTGCTAAGAATATCACTGAGAGGTAAGTGCAAGGGTCCCAGGAACTTCTTGGTCTCTGGGCTCTTGTATCTGGGGTGTGATTGGTTGGCCTTACACCCGCCTCGCTCTTGTTTTCATTTTCAAGATAGAGGAGAGAATAGAGGCTTAGAGCTGTTTCATTCCAGCCAAAGATGCTTCCCATTGACATGTCAGGGCCCTTTCACTAACAGCCTGGAGTTCAAGGCCTTTGAAACAGGATTCCACCAGTTAGAATAAAATCAACCTGCTTTTGGGGGAGGAAGCTTACAATGGCACAAAATCAGCATTTATTGTGACTCTCAGACCTTATGTTATCATACACTTGATGAGAATCAAAATGAAGGCCGAAACATGAAAGGGAATCCTTTCTTCCATGATAGAGCTCATCTATTTACAAAAAAGAAAAAAATCACATGGGTTTTGTTCTCTGCTAGGCCCATTTTCATTTTATTGAGAAGCTTGGCTCGAAAGTTCAAGGCTGACTCATGCAGGAAAGAAAGGACCAAACTGTCAACCTCATACCACCTCCTTTCAAAATACCTTCTTTTCTAGGGTGGAGAACTTAAAAATGAGGTTATCTGAAGGGTCATTTCAGCAGTAAAACTGGCAAGGATGAATACTCCTTCAGTACATGTACTTGGATTGGCATAAAAATTGCTCATGTTCAATAACACAGACATCTATAGCAATTCTAATGGATTCAAAGAGAAGCACTAGATGGGACAACAAACACCACATAAATGATGTCTCCAATGGCCTTGACTTCTCATGCATTCTAATTTTTAGTTAACTGCCCTTTATCCAAAGCAATGATAGGATCTTATCTCTAGAAGACCCCAGAGAGCTCATTCATGCTGGTCTTAATTCTAAAAGAGAGGTCAGCAAACTTTTTCTGCAAAGAACCAGAGTAAATATTTTTAGCATTGCAGGTTATAAGGTCTAGGTCACAACTACTCTACACTGCCATTGTAGCCAGCTCTACAGCAGCCATAGAATACAGAAATGAATGGGCATGGCTGTGTGCCAAGAAAACCATTTACAAAATAGGCAGTGAGCTGTACTTTACCAACCCCTTGCCTAGGGAAAAAAGATACTTGCCATGTTATGGCTTAGATTTCTTTAAAGAAGGAGAAAGGAAAGTAACATTTATTGAGTGCTTGCTTGTTTCAGACTCAGACGATTCTTAAAATATCATGTAGAGGAGGTAGGCATTGATGATCTGCATTTTTAGTATTCTTTAAGAGTAGTGTACAGTACTTATACAGCTCTTGTCTACCATCCAACCAGTTTGACTATGTTACTTTTTATATTGGGGAAAATTCCTTTTACAGCTGATTAGAGCTTGTCTCTTCCAAAGGACATGGATAACAGCTGGCTGTCATGCCTGCCATATCCTTAAAATGCTCCCCTCCCAACTCCAAGATGGGCCCATTTCTTTCCTTATAACTCCAAGTGTGTGTTTTATACTGCTCTCTTCTGGACAATATGCAACTGCTCACTATTTATCCTAAAGTTAAAAAGTGCAAATAGCACTACTACTCCAGGGTACCGAGGACACTAATAGTCATGGTTTCCAACTGGAATTTGAGAGTACTTTTCTCTACCTATGAATTGCGAGATGTCCCGATAAAGTGGCTACTACTAGGTGTATTGCCCAGCAGTCCCTAAAAATTCAACCGAGTGACACATGAATAAATTCTCACCGGGTGACCTAAGAAAATGTGGCCCTCTAACAGTTAAGAAGGCACACATTTAAAGGCTAGCACCAGCGTGTGAATGCTCGTACTCAATCTCCTGCAGAGCCAGTGAGGCATATCTACTCCTGGTTAGCTCTCCCTATAACAAAGCCACCTCGTCAAGAATATGCAAAAGGTTGAATACACAAAACCTGTAACAAGGAAGCCCTTGTTTCTGTAATCCCATCTTGTCCCATCTCTGTCAATCCTCTTAGTGGATTCAAGAGGCTTTTTTTTTTTTCATTAGCCAATTCCTGAGGCTTTTTCCCTTTCTAGCAGCCAGGATATAGGAAAAAGGGCACTGGGCTTAGGAGTTGGGAAACCGGGGTTCCAATCCTAGCACTGTCACTTTTTAACTATGGTTCTTTGAGCTAGCTTATACTTAGAAAATTGAGCTCAGAATAGCTCTGGCTATAACACAGCTGAAATCTCCTAAGAACAGGTGGGCAGCATCCTAGATACTCCATGCATGTTAATTGGATCTGTGTTTTCATATTATTCAACACATTAGTCAAGCACTCCTTGTATGGCTTTGTTTCAATACCTGTCTACTTGCCTCTGTTCTTCAACCTGTCACTCAGCAGTCGTCTTTAGGATGTGACTTCCTAGTCCTCTGTCTTCTCTTGTGTCTGCCTTGGCCTTTGGCTCCTGTATATTTCCAAACCATCTTTATTCTTTAATTCAAGTGTAGAACCCAGAATAATTCCTACAGTGAGACTTAGTTGAGATTTTTCAGCAACATTGAATCAGTTAAAGTAGATATGTCCTCCTACAAGCTGAACCAAAACTGAAATTTTTTTTTCAGTTCAGTAACAGAGAAAACCCAAGAAGAGAGAGTTCCAAGCTTTACATTGTAGGAGATGCATATGCTTTAGAAGCAACTGTTTGGCTCTGCACTAACTGCCTAGTAATTAGCGATGGCACTCAGGCTGCTCATTACCATTTCTGAGTCGGATTTTGTTCATATGCTCCAACTGGGCAGGATCCCCAGCCACCTTGTTTTTGTCCTTATAGCCTCAACACATTGCAAATTGCTGAATAAGTGAGTGAACACATCTGTAAAACAGAGCCAATCATTCCTACCTAAGATGGAATTAAATGATAATGGTAAAAATGTTAGCCCCGTTTCTGTCCCAAGTTGAAAGCAGGAGAAATACTAATTCCTTTTCTTCCCACTCACTAGATGAATACAAATGTAATGCTTATTCTCAAGCTATACTAATACATAGGTCTGTGAGATGATTGTACTTTTATAACAGTATGTAAAATAAGCAAAGGTACTCACTAAATCCAGGTGTAAGAAAGTTAGTCTAATGAAGAATCTAAAATTAAAGTCACTCTTAGCTATCCTCTTGATACAGATAACTTGTTGCTAAGAAAATTCCCTATGACTAGTACCCATTTTTCAGAGCATCTAGGAGGTTCTCTGACTCCTCGAGGTGATGCCTCTGTTCCTCATTACAAGAGTCAGTTCAAGGATCTGCCAGGCTTTTCCAGAAAACGAAACTGAAAACTCCAGTTATCAGCTCTGGAAAAATATCACTTAGCTCTAAGAATTAGAGCAGTTCTGATGAGTAGCTTTCACAGTGTATTCTTTAGGGTGGCTCATAGGCTTGAATTAAGACTACAACAAGGTTCTAGGGCCAAATGTGTTTGTGACATCTTGAGCCAACCAGAGTAAAACACACTTTGTTACTGTGAAAACCCATTGGGTTTTACCATGGAGTGTGCATTGTTTGACAGAAGCCTGTGAGCAGTGTAGCATAGACATGTCCATCTTCTGGAACACTGGGATTATGTGGCTACCAGCCACTGAGTGTCATGGAGATTAGATTTCTGCATCGAAGCAGAAATCCAAACAGAGCTATGTGCAACCCATCTTCTTAAGCATCAAGTTGGGACATAACACCCTTATTTATTTGCTCTGTTAAGAAGAGCTTCAGACACACCTCCACGTGCACATGTGTACACGTATACACAGACATGGCTATAAAGCAAGAATTTGAGAAGGTGGCATAACACTAACAGCCCTCAAGGGATTCGGCAACTTATCTGAAAGGCCAGAAGATGGGCAAACGGGATTTAGGAAATAAAAACATGGCCTAAAATGTTGAATTTGGCCCATTTCCCCTTGCCTGTCCAATCCAATTAAGAGCTTGAAATTGTAGCCAAAGATAAGTATCTTTCCTTCCATCAAAATACAAATGTGTAGATGTTAAAAGCTTCAGTAATCAGGGCGGCGCCTATGGCTCAAAAGGAGTAGGGTACCAGTCCCATATACTGGAGGTGGTGAGTTCAAACCCGGCCCCCACCAAAAACTGCAAGAAAAAAAAAAAAAACTTCAATAATCAGGCTGGCATGGTAGCTCACACCTGTAATCGTAGCACTCTGGGAAGCCAAGGCAGGTGGATCACCTGAGCTCAAGAGTCTGAGACCAGCCTGAGCAAGAGCGAGACCCCATCTCTAAAATATAGCTGGGCACCTGTAATCCCACATACCAGGCAGGCTGAGGCAAGAGAATTACTTGAGCCCAGGAGCTTGAGGTTGCTGTGAGCTATGAAGCACTCTACCGAGGGTGATAAAATGTGACTCCGTCTCACAAAAAGGCTTCAGTAATCTCCAGAGATTCTTGCTGTCAGCCTTTGCCTCCCAGGCTGGGAACGTTCATCTTTTTGGTTCCCACTCTACAAAGTTCCTACCAGCAAAATGGCAGGCGTGTTTAACAGTGTCACTTAACTAAAACATGTTTTATTTAATTGTTTGTGGACCATAGAACCAGGAGAAATATGGGGGAAAATTGATTCTGGATGACCCTAAACAAAGAGGCTTCTGCTGCTGGGCAAGGGAACTACAAAAGCCAGAGAAATACAATCACAAGTTTGGTTCTTGTTTCCACGATGATTCAGTGCAATTCTCCTGCTGAACATTATAACCAAGAATTAATTGGGGTTTCATTTTGAAATATTTTTTGAGGCATTCAAATGACACCATAGCATTTCTTTTAACTTTTTTAACTTTTCAGTGCTGGTGCATATGTCCTGGGATCTTTGGTATGTAGCATACTTTAAAGGCTTCATGAATATTTGTTGAGAATAATCCTGGGATCTCAGTGAGGACTTTTTATATTCAAGGCAAGCATTTTTTTAAGTACAGTTTAACCATAAGTGAAAAATGCCTTGGAACCATCCCATCAGTGTAAATTGGCAGCTAGCTGTTAGTAACAATCAGTCTGATTTCCTTGAGTATGATATTTAGTCAACAGACTCACACAACTCTGCTGTTCATTGCTTCTTGGTGAAAGAGGTCAGGAGGTGAAGTTAGATCCTCCATCCTCTTCTTTCTTTCCAGAAATATCAGTACATTATGGCATTGCTGATTAACCTCTCTCCTTTCCTTCTTGTATAACCCTGAAAATCTGCCAGAAATATGGCTATAGAAACTATTTCTACGGATTTTGAACATTTCACAGGTATATTCTTTTTATTGAGATGAAATTGATGAAATTCACTTAATGTAATTTCAACTTTTTTCAAGTATCCAATTCAGTGGCAATTAGAACAGTCACAGGATTGTGCAACTACCACCTCTATCAAGTTCCAAAACCCTTCCATCAGTACAAAAGTAAACCCTCCATTCATTAAGCAGTCACTCCCCCTCTCCCTGGCAATACCAGTCTGCTTCTGTCTCTAGGGAGTTGCTTCTTCCGTACATTTCATACAAATGGATCATATAATAGCCTTTTATGACTACATTTTTATAGAACAAGGTTTTTAAGGTTGTAGTACATATGGGTACTTTATTCCTTTTTGTGGTTGAATAATAGTCCACTGTATAGATATACCCACAGGTGTAATTTTTATAGCCAAGACATATTTGTCAAATCCAAAGCTTTAAAAGCCATTAAGAGACTCAACAGTTACCCCCAGGGTAATAGGGCTGAAATTTTTCTAAATTAAATGGAAGAACATAGGCCTGAAATTCTCCTGGTTGCTGCCAGCTAGCTTTATGGCCTTGTATAAAAGAGCATCATTTTTCCCAATTAGAAAATAAGTAACCAGATTTAGACCTAAATCATTTCAAAGTTATTTCTTTACTCAAAAATCCTCAGTGCCCTACATAATACTCTGCATTTCTAGCTTCTAGAAATGTTATATAATAATATCTACTCAACAAGATTATGGGTGTAGCACTGTTTGATATGTTCAGAAGAGATATATTTCATGCCTCAATTTTCTTGTTTTTTAAGAGAATCAACTTACATTTTTTAATTAGTGTTAGTAATAATAATTTAACTTTCCAGGCCAGGTACAGTGGCTCAGGCCTGTAATACTAGCATTCTGGGAGGATCTCTTAAACTCAGGAGTTTGAGACCAGCCTAAGGAAAGTGAGACCCTGTCTCTACTAAAAAAAAGAAAAATTAGCCAGGTGTTATGGTGGGCTCCTGCAATCCCAGCTATTCGGGAGGCAGGAGGATCACTTGAGCCCAGGAGTTTGAGGTTGCTGTGGCTATGATGAGGCCATCCCACTCTGTCCTGGGGCAACAGCATGAGACTGTCTCAAAAATAATAATTCTGGAACTTTCCAAATCAACTTGAGTGCATAGTGGATTGACACACACACCAACCAGTACCTACCTTGCTTTATAGTTTATAGATGAGAACTCTAACCAGAAAACCTAAATGAAGCAGAGAGACAGTACATCCACTGGGGAAATTTGTGGGTAAACTTGTGAGTTATTTTCCATGGCATCTGCTAGGAATATGGTACAAGGAAATGAATATGAGGAAAGAGAAAATGAGCCAGGCAAAAATCTCCCCTTTTAATGCTTATTTTAGAGCAAGGCTAGCAATTGATTAAACTAATTCAATATCTGGAAACATTCTTTTTTAATCTTCACTTTGCCTTTTATGCAGTTTGAAATTTAGGAGACTCCCCTTTGAAGTGGAGCAGGGTTGAGCCTGAAAGGAACAAACAGTTTCCCAGACAGATGTGTGAAGAAACGCCTGGAGCTCTGTGCTTCTTGCTGGGGTTAGAAGTGACAAGGCCAAGCTGTTAAATACATGGCAACATGAAATATGAATATTCTTTAGCTTTCACAGGAAATCGTTTCCCAGTAGTAAAAAGGAAGCGAGGAAGCCATTCTGATGTTTTTCAAATTCCTTCACTTTTTCGTTCGGTTCACATTCGTGTGCTTTGTGTGACTGTGTTGGGCCATTTTGAGATTCTTCCAAACTCATGTGTAAAAGCAGCACTTCAAACAAATGTTTCTTTTACTTTTTTCATCTATATGCAGTGGTGGTGAAAGCCAACTTGACATTTCTAAAAAGTTGTTTTGTTTAAACTACAGGGTCTCCATGGCAACTGCATCCTCCCAGGTCCTAATTCCTGAAATCAACCTTAATGACACATTTGACACTTTTGCCTTAGATTTCTCCCGAGAGAAGAAATTGCTAGAATGTCTGGATTACCTTACAGGTATTGTCTTTTCATGTTCTCTTTAATATTGTGGACAGTGAGTGACACAAATGCTTTACCACCAGATCACTTATTCCATAAAAACTAGAAATGTGGGCTTTTAGCTTAGGAATGGCATCTAATATTCCCTTAAATAATTTCTATGTGCTCCTTTTTTTGACCAAAGCAACATTGCCCAAGACTAAAATGCAGACAGGAGATAACAGAGAATCTCTGTCATTAAAAGCATACAGACCACTATTTCCCTCACTTTCACGGTGTGGGTGCTAAAATAATAGCTCTATTGGATATTTTTCATGTTATAAGGCATCTCACACTACTTTAGCGGAGAAAAAATTGGCAGCTAGCTGATGGGGTATCTACTCTGTTTCAGCTATTTTCAATCTTGTTTTAATCTTTACAATATTGAGGTAAAGCATTATAATCCTCATTTCACAAATGACAAAGGTTAGCCATCTTGCTCAAGGTCAGATAGCAGTGGCAGATTTTGAATTTGGCTGGGGCCTGTACAGACTCCAAAGACGTCTACTCTTTCTAGTACAAGACTTAGCTAGACGTCACCATGGCAAAGATCATAAAAATCTCATTGGAATTCCTGGTACCTTGTTTCAATCCTGTGTTTCTTGCTTAGGTTTTCTTTTTGGTCAAACTTTAGAACAAAGAGCGACCACAAAAAAACTCTCAGACCATTCCTATTCCTAATAAACTTGTTTTTTTGTGCTGTTAACCTGTAAAGCAAAAACTGAGAATATCAGCTGATAGAACTTGAACTGCTTAAACAACCTTAGGTGTTGGCCAAAGCCACTGGTACCTGTGACTTCAGGCAAGTCCATTGTACACAGTGAAGCCAGATGTGCACCGTGCTCAGCTCTCAAGAAACCACATCCCCAACTTAGCATGGTGTCAGCTTCTCTACTTCAGTTCTATGTGTGTGTTTGGAGGATGAGTGGTTGGGGAATATGGAGCAGGAGAGAGGGAACATTGTGTGATGTTTGTTTTTACTGTCCGCGGATAGAAAGAAAGCAAGGAGTTCTATATTAGGAGAGCCTTGTACCCAGAAGATCGGAGTTCTTTTTTTCTCTGCAAGGACTCGAGGTGCTATTTTTAACCCTTCTTCATTTGCAAGGAAGACAAACCCTTCCACAAACTTCCTACCTTATGTAAGACTCTCTTTGAAACATACTGCTCCTATTAAGAAAGAAATTGACTAAAAAGCATTTGGAATAAGGACCCCAAACTTGCTTTTAAATATTTTTTTGAATATAGTACTCTCCTTTTTAAGCTTTTAACTCTGAGATTTATTTAAACTAATTCTATCCAATAGAACTTTCTATGATGATAGAAATGTTCTATATTTCCACTATCCAATATGTTAGCAGCCAGCTCTATGGAGCTATTGGAAACTCAAAAAAAAAAAATTTTAATTCACTATCCACTTTTTAAGTTTAATTGAAAATTAAATAGCTATGTATTGTAAGTGGCTATTGTATTGGATTATCTATTGGTCTAGATTTTCTCCAATTAAGCTGCTTTTCGCGATATCTTCCTGTTAAAAAAATTTTTTAAAATGTCATTTGGGAATAAGTTTAGTTTCAAGTAGCAGAAAATCCAACTAGGAGTGACTAAACCCATCAAGAAGAAACAGAAGGGAGGCCTGCAGTCTAGGGCTGGATAGCAGTTTGGTGATGACCTCAAACCCAAGGCTCTTTCTCTGTTCCTTTCTGCCACCTTTATTGTGTTGCCTCTTTGCCACACGATCATAATGTGACTACTACACTTCCAAGCATGCTTAACTTATGCTCAAGTTTTAGGCAAAAAGAGAGAGGCGGAGGGAGAATGACAGATGGAAAGCCCTGCCAGCCACATTTGACCGTGCTTATCAAAAACAAAAAGCTTTTCCAGAGATCCCACCTAGCAAACTCCCATTTATGTCTGGTGGACCAAATATGTATCACAAGGTCATACTAAGGGGCAGAAAAGACTGACAAATTAAGTATTTACCTGGGCACGGGGCCATATTGCCCAGAATCAGAGCCTTATTAACAAGAATGTGTCGGTCCTTCCCCTTTCCAATTATTCAATAGTATTTCAACAACATATGTGCCCATTTTAATCTCTACAAGAACGTGAAAGTATTGATTAAAGAGGAAATATGAAAGCAGTCTGCAATGAATTGTAACAGGTATACCATATATCATCCCGATGGCTGTTTATGCCAAACTAAAGGCCATATGGGGTACCTGCTATTATGCCTCCTGAGCTGTCAGCCCCAAATACAAATTCAGTCCGTTTCTAGACATAACATCAATCCTGGCCATAACATACAATGCTTGGCTGATACTGCCAAGTCCAAATAGTTTATCAGACATTTGTAAGCAGGAAATGAAATGTTTGTCGAGTATCAGCTGACCATTCCTTGTGTGGTGTTTGTGACGGAGGCAAGAAAAGAACAGAAAGAACCGTTCTGGTACCAATTCCATGAGTATTGAAATTGGCAGCATGCTGCTGTTCTCATTTACAATAAATTGAGTATCGACTTCTCAGGACAAACCCATTGGGTTTACAATCAAAACAAGGTTAGTCTGTCTGGCTGTGAAAACAGGATTTTTTTTTCCTATGACATGCCTGTAAGAGGTATGTCAAGTTAATAACCCGTAGAGGTGACATTTCCTTCCTGACGGTGGCTACTGCCATGTGTCTCACTTGGGTATTTTGAACATACTTTTTAAAATGTGTTTAATCATATATTGCAATGCAGAAAACAAAATTTTTCTACAATGGTTGATGGAGAAATAATTCACTCAACTATTTAAATGGTGAGAGAATAACTTTCTTCACTGAACCATGCGGGGGTGATCCCACATCAACAGGGACCACACAGACAATAATAAGCACATTTTTACGATGCAGCTGGGCCACCTCATGGAATTCATCTCCTGATTGGTGTCACTGATTCATACACATCTAAGTCACATTGCACACCACTAAATCTCACATTTACAAACATCAAGTTACAGATGTACAAATAAATATTCCAGAAGGACTGCTTCAAAAGTTTTGTCAAGTCCTTCTGTCTTAACATGCAATTTAATGCAGTGCCTGTCACATTGTGGATATTCACCAGTATTTGTGGAATTCAGTAACCAATAGACAAAGCTAAAGTAATTGGCTTAATACACTTGCTTCTATAATTGTCCTGGATATATCTTCAGGTGGCAATGTGAAGACTATGAAGTAGAGTTTTAAATTTCTCGTTTTCATAAACTTTTCTTCCTCTTTGGGTTTACTTAGAATTCACCAATCCTAATCAAAATTTAGAGTAAAAAAGCACAGACGTTATATCTTAATTTAAAGAAAGCAGGTATGTTTCGTCATTTGAAGTTAGATTCTGGTATACAGAAGATTGGAACTAAAGACCCTTGGTCAGTTCTCTGAACTAGGGGTCAGAAAACATTGACTGTAAAGGGCCAGATGGTACATGTTTAAACTTTGTAGGCCATATGGTCACAACTACTCAACTTTGCTATTGCATGAAAGCAGCCTAGACAATACATAAATGAAAGACTGGCTGTATTCCAATAAAACTTTATTTACAAAAACAGCCACTGAGCCAGATTTGGCCCACAGTCAAAGTATGCCAACCCATACCCTAAAATACTATTTTCAATGCAAAGCTGTTATTGCCTCATCTTTTTCTTGCTCACATACTCTTTTCACAAAACCAGTTACTGAAATCAATCCAGTAGAGTCATTTTAAACTCATTATTTTGGTAGGATTTAGACTTCTCTAGAAAGTGTTAAAGAAATAAAACAGCAGCCTGTTTTAAGACAGTGATAAAGTTCGCCAAATGCCAAAACATTGTGTTTTCCTTAGGGAAAGAAAATGTACTTCTTGGATATGATTGATTGCTAATCACCGTCTTCTTAATTTGAAATCTCACTCATAAATGAGAAGCAAATAAGCCTGCACTAATAAGTTTTTGTTTTGTTTTTTTACAAGGCATTGAAATATCTAACGAAAGAAAATTTTCAAACAATTATTTGATTGATTTGTCTGGGATTAAAAAAAATCAGTATTTTTCCAATTGGGTGCCTAAATACATATAAAAATATCTGATACCATGTAGATCAGGGGTTGGCAAACTTTGGGTCACAGACCAAATCTGGCTTTCTGCCTGTTTTTGTAAATTAAAGTTTTATTGAAACCTGGCCACACCCTTGTGTGCAAATTGTCTGTGGCTACTTTTATGCAGCAACAACAAAGTTCAGTAGTTGTAACAGAGAATTCATGGCCCACAAAGCCTGAAACATTTACCGTCTAGGCAATCTGCCTTTACTAAAACAATCTTTACTAAAGATTTACTAAAACAATCTGCTACCACCACCACCACCACCACCAAGTGAATGAAACTATGGAAGTTCATTTTGTTTACTTTTTGTTTGACATATTTTACTTCATGGACAAGAGAGTATTGTTTGCTTAACCTCCTAAACATTTTCTCATGATAAACAGATAAGTCCATATTGGCTAGCTCTGTTAAAAATAAAAGCAATAGCCAGGCAACCAAATGTTCTTTGGATTGGGGCTACTATCTTTAGGGTAGTAGTCTGGATGGATCTATTTATAATGGCTTGCTTAACTGTCAAACATCTCCTCTGAAATGGCATCCACTAGGGTCTGCTTTTCTACTCATGAGCATTCTTGATCCCCACAGCTCCCAACCCTCCCACAATTAGAGAAGAGCTCTGCACAGCTTCATATGACACCATCACTGTGCACTGGACCTCCGATGATGAATTCAGTGTGGTCTCCTATGAGCTCCAGTACACCATATTCACCGGACAAGCCAACGTCATTAGTGAGTACCTCATGGCCTATTTTTTTCTCTCTTGAATGACTGTTTTCAGATAAATTACATTCTTGAATTTAAACATTAAAGGAAGACAAGGGAAAAAAAGAATATACAATATTTGTTGGCTTGTCTTTCCTGACCAAAAAAGTGATAGCACTCACATGTACTACACCAGTAAAAATAGCTGGCTAAAAATGTTAAGGAAAATTAATGACCTCTAACAAATCGCATGGATGAATCTCACAAACATAGGAAGAGAAAGAAACCAGAAACAAAAATATATGCAGTATGAATCCATCTATAGAGCAAAATAAAGACACACTCATAGGTGTTAAACCTATAATACAAGTCAGAATGATGATTACCTCTAGGGGGTGGGAGTCATGTACTTTTCTGAGTGTTATTTTATAATTTTTTTTAGAAAGAAAGGATTTAATAACATAAATGGCCAAAGAACATTAAACACCTGATCCCATTCAGAGGTGAGCTGGGGCCATCACTTGAAATGTTAGTAACTGGCTCCACCTAGGAAGAATTTCTAGCTTTCCTTGAAACACAGAGAAATCCCTCTCTTGCTGAGGCCTCTTTGATACCTAGCATCAGGGATAATTTTCTGACCTCAAACAGCAGTAGCGGCTAGCTAAGAAATGATAATACAGGAGGCACTTCTTCCCACCCACAAACTTAAATATTTTTCTTTTTTGGAGACAGAGTCTCAGTCTGTTGCCCAGGCTGAGTGCTGGGCACTCACAGCAACCTCAGATTCTGGGGTTCAAGTGACCTTCCTGCCTCAGCCTCCTGTGTAGCTGGGACTACAGGTGCCCATCACAACACTTGGCTACCTTTTAAGTAGAAACAGGGTCTTGCTTTTGCTTAGGCTGGTCTTGAACTCCTGAGCTCAAGCAGACCACCCAGAGTGCTAGAATTATAGGCATGAGCCACTGTACCCGGCCAGACTTACATAAATTGATTTGATCAACTGGCAGAGGACCAGAAGAAATAGCTTTTGAGGGGAACAAGTTTGAAACTTCTTGAACAAAGAAAATAGAATATGTCAAAATAGAACAGAATAGAATAGCAGTCACAGTTCTACAAAGAGATGTTTTAAATAAATCCCTATCAACTTAATGTGCTTTTGTTACATAAACCTTGTCTTTCTTAACTATGCTGTTCTTTCCTAGCACAAGTATTTCTGAAACATGTGCTGCTTTTAAAAGAAATGTGATTTAGCATTAATTAAAGAAGTGAAGCAGAAGTAACACCAAGTTCTAAGTGACTAAAGTGTAAATGACCCGTACCAACAAATGGCTCCCACTATGTTCTTTATATCCATTTTCCCAGTTTCTCCTCCCCAACCCTCTCACATCTTCTACCCCATAATTGGCCTGCCTTGAAAGGTTTTATTAAAATGTTGCCATTTACCAAGAAAGTCTAATTTCTGAATGAAAGGGAGAAAAGTCATGAAATGTCAAGAACAGCTTTGGCAAGCTGCCCAAGTAGGCAGGGAATATAGATAGGGCAGACATGGTGAGGGGGACAGAAAGGTCTTGTTGGAAGTTTTGGTTAAACTAAGTTTTGAAAGAGAGTGAGTGCATGTCGGCAAGTTAAGGGTATCCCAGACAGCTGTATAATCATAAGCAAACTTATCAAGTCATAACGTAGCAGGTTATGTTGGCAGGTCTTGCCTAAATAAGCCTGGCTGGTGAGGTGAGTGAAGAAAAGGAAACAGTGGGAAATAAAGGTAGAGAAGTCTAACCAGGACCCAATCCCATCTCCAGCTGGCTCCCTTACCTACCTCATAGGCAAGAGCTAGATCGCATAGGGCCACCCAGGCTACACTATGTTTAGATTTCACCCCAGAGGGTTGAGACTCACTCAGGGCAGTAACATGATTAAATGTCTAACTAGAACCTGAGTCAGAAGCACTGTGGAGGGTAGACTGGAGCAGGGAAGGATGAGAATCAGACATATCAGCCAGGACATTTCTTAGTAATTCACTAAGGCAGAAATAGCCAGGACATGCAAATGGCACCAACAGCAGGGATGGAGAGCAAAAGGTAATCCGGAAAGGCTTCTCTGCCTCTGGTGCATTTTTCTAGGAAACACCATCACTGTCCTCGGGTATCTGAAGTGTTTGGGGGCAAGTCGGAGAAGCACTGCCATATGGTTCAATATCATTTCCCTCTCTTTCCAGGATTTTGAATTTTTTAGTACCATTCCCCATTCTTTGTCCTATATGCCCTGCTGCAAGTTATTCGGAAATACTAATTCTCTATCATATTTTCTGTATGTGCATACTGTACAGTTCCTCATCTTGTTTTTTCCACTAAATATTATGTCTGAGAGATCATCCTATTTCACCATGAAGAACTACCTCATTCCTTTGTGAGCCAGTATAGTGTCCCATTGTAAAGATGTCCCATCTTCTGTTGATGTGGGTAGAGCTTGTTTCTAATATTTCACCCTTATCAACAGTGCTTCAATGAATATCTATGACTATCTCTTCTTTCACACGTGGAGAATTATATTTGTAGTATAACCTTTTGAGGTACTATTGCTAGGAAAAGATTATTTGCATTTTAATTTTAGTTGACATTGCCAAATTGCCCTTCAGAGACATTATTTTTAAATACATTTTTCTAGCTATCTGAGCTTATCTTTCACTGACTGTGGATGCATATACCATAAACCTGACATTTCACTGGATTTTAATTCCATGTTAAACCTTGATTGTCCTTCACCATGAACCTGAAACAAAATTAATCTGTAATCTCACTAATATCATACTAAATAATCACTTCTTCATATAAGCCGTGATTCTCAGCCAAGAGCAGTTTTATCTTCCAGAGAACATTTCTGGAGACATTTTTGGTTTTCAAAACCTTGGGAGAACGGTGCTGTTGACATCTAGTGGGTAGAGGACAGGAATGATGGGAAAGATCCCACAATGCAACAATAAAGAAATGTCAGCAGTATCGAGGTTGAGAAACCCTGATTAAAAGCAAGGTAAACATGTGACATCTACATGATTACATGCTAAACACTGAGACCATAATACTGACCCACACGTGGCTATCCTATACAGTGTGGAAGGGAAAACATAGCAAAAAGAAGGGAGTATAATTAATTCTTTTGTCTTCACTTAAGGAATTATTTTTGCAATGTTGTGTGATAAATATTATTGACATACTGGATAAACTGAACCAAGGATCGTATCAAACTTGAAGATGAAATTCAAAAATGGTCAAATTCCAAGATAATCAGAGAAAGGGAGTGTATGAAGATCTGAGAAGAGTAGGTAGAAAATGGAGGCATGATTCATTGCAAAAACACTGAAAGAATGTTCTCTGAAAACTCACAGAGGATTGATGAAAACAATGCCTGTTGATTAGTGAATAGTCTAATTAGGAAAAGAAAACATTTGGGGTCATTATTATAGCATAAGGGGGTTTGGGCCCTTCTGAGAAATGTTATATTTCCCCAAAATCATTTTTGCTCAATTCATGAAAAATGATAACAGTTTTCTATTGCTATGAAACAAATTTCCCAAGATGTAGCCATTTACAACAACACCCATTTGTATGTTTCCATGGGTCAGGATTCAAGGCACAGTTGAGCTGAGTCTTCTGAAGAGTCTTAGAAGGCTGAAGTCCAGGTTTTGGCCTTGCTAGCAGGCCAACTGGATGCTCAACTAAGGAATAATCTATTTACTAGCTTCCTCCGTTTGCTGGCAGAATTTGTTTCATTAGAGCTAGGGAATTCATGGTAACTTGCTTCTTCAAAGCTAGCAAGGGGGAGAGAGTTGGCTACTTCAACTCTCTTTTTTTTTTTCAATTAAATCATAGCTGTGTACATTAATGCAATCACGGGGTACAGTGTGGTGTTTTCATATACAATTTGAAATACTCTCATCAAACTGGTTAATGTAGCCTTCGTGTCATTTTCTTAGTTATTAAGACATTCATACTCTGCTTTTAGAAAGATTCACTTGTACCCTTACAAGATAAGCCATACAGGTGACCCCACCAATCACCCTCCCTCCACCCACCCATCCCGTACCCCTCCCCTTCCCCTCTCCCCATATTCTAAGGCTATAATTAGGTTAATTCTTTCCTATGAAAGCTATAATTTAGTTTCAAATTAGGGCTGTGTACATTGGATATTTTTTCTTCCATTCTTGAGATACTTTACTAAGAAGAACATTTCTAGCTCCATCCATGTAAACCTGAAGGAGGTAAAGTCTCCATCTTTCTTTAGGGCTGCATAGTATTCCATGGTGTACATATACCACAGCTTATTGATCCATTTATGGATTGATGGGCACTTGGGCTTCTTCCATGACCTAACAGTTATGAATTGGGCTGCAATAAACATTCTGATACAAATATCTTTGTTGTAATGTGATTTTGGGTCTTCTGGATATATACCTAATAAAGGAATTGTAGGATCAAATGGCAGGTCTATTTTTAGTTCTCTAAGTGTTCTCCAAACATCTTTCTAAAAGGAACGAATTAGTCTGCATTCCCACCAGCAGTGTAGAAGTGTTCCCTTTTCTCCACATCCACGCCAACATCCCTGGTTTGGGGATTTTGCGATATGGACTAATAGGTGATATGAAAAAATACTCACCATCCTTAATCATCCGAGAAATGCAAATCAAAACTACTTTGAGATATCAATTCTCTTTCTCTTAAACCAGCCCCTTCCCGGAATAATTCTCCTTTTGATTAACTCCAAGTCAGCTGATTAGGGACCTTAGGAACAGTGGTAGATCTCTGTCCTTTACTATATTCCTTTGTTTAGAAGCAGGGCCCAGGTTCTGCCTACACTGAGCAGAGAGGATCATAAAAAGTCATAAATACATACTAGGAAGCAAGAATCCTGGGGGCCAACCAAGGATATGTCCACCACAGATGGTTATGTTTCTCATGAAATTTCTTGAATCAAATCATCATGGGCATTTGGGGAGTACATGTAGCCTTGGCCTGCACTGAAAGGACTAAATA